TAATTTATTATAATTAAAAAATTGAAGTTTTGAAATGAACTAACAATTCTCTTCTTGAGGGGTGCAGAGGCACATCTTTGCTTTGAACTAACGCAATAAAACGATCATGTTTGTGGGTTACACCCTGCGATCCGGCCCTATTCTAAAATTTATTACTTTATTACCATTAGGTACCCGGGTCGGTATCTATCGGTCTTTCAAATTTGCTGTCGTTGATGGAGATATGAACACCGATGAGTGCAAAAGTGATAGCCGACTGACGCATAGAAAATCGGTTAAAAATGACGAATTGCAATGTTGTATGACACAAAAAAAATAAACATACAACTGCAGTTCAGGATTCGCCGTTATCTTCTACGATGAAGAGCCTTAAAGTACACAATAATTTTTTTTATTAATAAATTAAATATAAAAATCTAATTGTTTCAAGCTAAATCGTATTATGTAAACTTTGTCAATTCGAACTGATGCAAAATCGGATCCTTGCCATAGTCACGCATGCGCAGTATTAAATTAAGTAAACTGGGTTTTTAAAGTGTGAAGTTTTTAAGTTTGTAAACAAAAATTTTGTTATAAACAGAAAAAACTAAAAAAAGTACGTAACTAATTCTTTTATACCTTCTGCATAGCTTTTTCACAAAATTGAGTTTAATTACAGACATTATGTTTTTCATTTTGGGGTTTATAATGTTTACACTGGCGGACACGAAATTATGGACGATTTGTTATTCGACTAACGTAAAAATATAAAACGGGCCTTTGGCAACTTGACTTTCGGTTTCTGTAATTTTTATCTTGATATCTAGAGAAAAAAATGACAACAAATGAAATTAATTTATTGAACTTACAAACAACAAAAATAACAAAAATAAATTTTAACTATGTATAGTAGATTTCAGTGAAATTGGCATAATTGTTGGCTATGGAATTTCATATTTAAGTTTGTAACCCTGCGCATGTCACTGGTATCCAGCAAATGAGGTTTTTGTTTTTCTTTAGTTACTTAGTTACATGGTTTGTTGAACTGACATAACTGACATTTGTTTCGTTTTTTTTACTGGTTTCGTTGCTTGTTGTTTGTTATTCCCAGTATTTTTCCAAATAAAATTAAAAATAGTACTCTTCAGAACCCCAAATTTAGAATACACGCTAACGTATGTTTGAAAACATAATCAATTTCTTTTTGTTGTCCCCCCCTGTTACAACCAATTTGAATAAAGCCAAATTATTTTCTTCAAAGCAAATGGTGTATGTTTTTGGTGTTAAAACTACACCTACAAAGGGAAAAAACCGGGTGTTAAATTTTTTACGGAAAAACTCGCTCAAAAAACCTCTGAAAGAGGGTTATTTAAAAATGAAATTTTAACTATATTAACTTTTTTTAATGACAATTTTAATTCCATAATATGTAAAGCCTTTTTCACATTTAAAGTGCGGTTTACACAATCATGGCCTACTGTTATGTCAATTTCAATGAAATGGTTTTTACAACTTTCAATTTTTAGTTTCAAACGTCAATTATAATGACAATAAAGCGTGCCTTACATTGACATTTTTTGAAGTGACATTAATTTGTCCAAATTCCGTATCCGTCACTGTATTACTAAAATACATACTGACAAAAATTTATTAAAAATATTTATTTTTTATTTTCATTTTCTGTAGAAGGTTTATTGGGTGATGAAATTTGAAATTTGGACCAGCTGTAAACTCTTTCCAAACACTGGCGTATAACTGGTTGCCTAGTGTAAAGCTGTTATTTTAATTGAAAATAATTTATTATTCAATATATTATAATTTTCTACATTTATAAGACAGAAAGTATAACTAGTTAAATAATATTTACGTAACTGTTTTATTATTATTTAACTTTAATTTATACCAGCTGTATACGACAAATGAGATATGAGTTTTGTTTTTTTGATTTTTAATTTCTGGTTTCTGAACTATTTTAAAGAATTAAAATTATACAAAGTGATCACGAATGAATGAGTCTGTTGGCAGGGCCAACTTTGAAGCACAGTTCCGTTGCGCTGACAATAGAAAAAAATTCAAATGTTTTTAGCGAAAATAAAGAAATATACTAAAAATGAAGCCAATTTGTTAACAGTTAAGAACAAGAATAATTTGTTGCAAGTAACGCTGTTCCGGGTTTTTTATTACAACGATTTTATTTCATAACAATGCAGGATACTATGTTGTGCAGCAAATTGTAAACACAACGATGCATATTACTGTAATTAAACTACCCGAGTTGAATCTAGATCCAGAGAAACATAAACTATTCAAACAACCTATTATACGAGATATAAACCGAGATACAAACTAAAAACAAAATTAAATATTGGCACAAACTGTAAACCTAAATATACAGGCTGTCCCAACTAAAATTTGAACCCCCTTAAATCCACGATTTCGTCCAAAAAACAGATCAATTTTAACTTTTAAAGAGGGACCAAATTTTATCAAAGTTTTAAAGTTATTTCTGCATCCCTTTAACGCCCAAAGTCATCCACGTTTTTTTCAATTTCAAACGATTTCTTTGAGGAAACAAAAGTGATTCTTAAAACAATTCAATTTAAGAAATACCCTGCTCAAAATTCTCCACTTAAGTTTTTTGTTACAATTGACTTGTTTCAGCATTTTTTCTTTTTTTAGTGTAGTTTTAGTGCATGTAGGAGAGCACTGCGTGATTATAAATATGATTATTTGAATTATTTACACGAAAGTAAAATTTAATTTCTAATCTTATTAAATGTTTGTCAAAATCAAAATTCTTAGTATTTTTTTAATTATTCTTTGTTTATTTTAGACGCCGGTTTTCATTCATGAGAAAATAAGATTTTCAATATTAAAACTAATAAAGCGATCAGTAAATTATTCAATTTTGATCAGTATATAATGATAATGATCAGTATTTAATTAATTTTTGCAAAGTAAAAATAATAAGTGCTAATAGTCTAAGATCCGAATTAGGGTCGACCTTCACCCATCTGCTTACCGGATGAAACTTATTTTTTTATCAAATTTAATATGCAAAGGAATGTATCGCGAATGGGTTACCTAAAAAAATATGTTCAAGGATATGATTTATTAAAAATACAAAAATTAATAATTTTTTATTACTTCACCTACTTGCTTACCAGAAAAATTAAAT